GTTGATTTTTGAACATACTGTGAGACTCTTTTCAGACATTCAGTCGAATTATTTTGTCTAATTTCTCAGCTTTATTTTCCTAAGTCAATTTTACAAAATATCAACCAAATTCAAAATCGTTTAGTCATGCAACAACTATTGTAATAACGTTTCAAACTGTGTTAATTAGGTGGTGTAATAGAAAAATCAAATAATTTTAAATTTAGTAGATTTTTGTACAAAGCTAATATGTAAATGGTAAACTATAAAATATACTTTCATACGATCATCGCTTTAACTTTATAAAATACGAGGAAACGAGATGGTTTAATTGAAAAAAAGTCGATGGCGACTTCCTCTAAAATGTAATAACATGTTACCGACGCATTATCAAACAAATTTTTATTCGATAGATTTTTTAGAAAATCAATATGTGAATATTAAACTCCAAAATAGACAAATACGATCATTCAACATTACAAAAAACGAAAGAGATCCGTGAATCATGTCCGTTTATCGTACATTATGTGATCAGTTTTATCAGGTAATGTATGTGTTTAATTTTAAATAAAAATATTTAAAATGATTTCTGATCGCACAATATACGATAAACGAACACGATTTAAATAAAAATGATCCGGATTCGTTTATAAATGGATAGATTTTCACGCTGCGGATAAAGCGAAATGGCACTCGACGGCGACGGAATTTTATCCAAGCCACGTGGAGCCCTATGATGTCACGACACGTGTCCCGGCAACCTAATCCGGTTAACCCAAGATTGGCGACGCATGTTGGGCCCGTGTCCTCACATCTGCCGTTTCTACAAGCCACGTGCTTGTCGGGGCTCTTCATGTTCACCACGCGTCGCCACTCCACGACTCTCAGGGGCTTTTTCGGTATTCACATTTCTTGTTTGCTTTCTTTTGGTAAAAAGTCTATTTGTTTTCAATGTTCTTGGGAAAATGCTTCTGGCGGGGTTGCTGATGCGCGTGTAGATGTTCTTCTGCTTCATGGTCTTCGTCCTCTGGTGCAACTGAGATGGATTTTCTCGCCGTTTCCGTCGAAAATTCGCACCGAGAAAGTGCGGGGAAGTATGGGATTTGTGTTGCTGTGTTCGTGGAAACATGGCTGGAATCACCATTCGATGTAAATCACAAGATAAATTAAAATTTACCCAATTTTTCATATTTTTTTTTAAAAAAAAATTCTGCTGAATTTCTACTTCCCGGTTTCGAAAATTTAAAACGATTCATCCCGGTAGCTCTGAATTTGACCGTTTCGATTTGGGTTTCCGGCGGTTTCTTTGTTTCTCAGTTTTTCACATTTTTCTGGGGAAATTCAACTTCTTTGTTCTGAATTCGTGAAAAAAATTGATCTGGGTAGCTTCGGATTCGATTATTAGATTTGGGTTCCGGCGATTTTCTGCAATTTTTATTTTTTTCAATGGCTCAAACAGAGGAAGGCGGGAACATAGCAACCCAGCAGGAGTTCCCAATGCAGGGGAGTAATTTTCAAGGCGATTTGTATGGGAAAATGGTTGCCGGAAACAGTTTTCCGGGAAAATTCGGGGAGCTGACCTCCGAGGATTCGGAGGAGATTGAGCTGAGCCTGGGCCTGTCGCTGAACGGTCGGTTCGGAGTGGACCCCGCGAGAGCCAAAATGGTGGCTCTGAAACGCTCGTCGTCAATCTCCGATTTCGGTTTTACCCCGGCAAGAGAAGAAGAGACATGTGGTGTGTCAGCCTCGTCGCGCGCGGTGCCTCTGATGAGGACTTGTTCGCTTCCGACGGAGACAGAGGAGGAGTGGAGGAAGAGGAAGGAGCTCCAGAGCTTGAGGAGAATGGAAGCGAAGAGGAAGAGGTCGGAGAAGCAGCTGAGGAACTTGAAGGTGCCGAGGGATCGGAGCCGGGAGAACGGCGGCGATGAGGAGAAGGCGGCGGAGGTAGCGAATGGGGTTCATAGGAAAGAGCAGTTTGTGAAGGTTGTGGATGAGTTTAGAGCAATGGGGATGCCCAATTGTCCTGCTCCGCCGATACCGGCCGCATCTCGAGGTAGTGGCTCAACTGGGATTTCGGAATCTGAGAGCCAATCTGCTGCTACGCCTCAAGGTATTCTCATTTCAAAACTTCTTTTCCCTGGTCGAGCGATATTCTATTCTAATCTAAATTACACTGCTCTAGGCAACTTAGCTACGCCCATGCGTCGTTTCAATTTAATTGCAGTTGGTTTCAATTGTTGTGAGTGAGTGATTGTATAGGATCTTGAATTCTTACAAGAATTTTATTCAAAGTTTCATCATGCTTTGAGATTTTCGAGTTTTTAAAAAAATGGCAATAGGCCTCCCCTTCCCTTCCCAATGGAAAGAGATCCGTATCTTTTCCTTCAAAGGCCAGGATCAAGTGATCGGACATTTGAAATTTAATTCAACGGTTAAAAACAGAGAAGATAGGAAAAAAATTTAAAAGCTATAATAATTTTTTTATCGATGGATCAAATTTCAAAGGTCCGGATCACTTGATCCCTCGGCTTTTGAGGAAAAGATCCGGAGAGGATCTCTTTCCCTTCCCAATTAGGTACTAGATGTGTACCCGATTCGTAAAATGGTAATGTTTGACAGTGTACGTGACTATAGTTTTTGGTAATTCTGAATTGCCTTTCTCGATGAACCGGTTGAGGGTGCTGCTAGCCATGTTCTTAGGGGTTTATTTGTAATGGGTTTAACCTTGTTACAATGTAACCCAAGTTTCTATGAGACCTAGTGATAAGTATCGTCTCGAGTGAAATTCTAGACTAGTAGTTTCGCATGACTGACTTTGTTTAGGCGCCTTTTACATTCGTTTGGGGCATCTCAACGGCGCCCCCTTAGATCCCCTCTGTGTGCTTTACCACCAAAGCTCCTTATCCACTTTACCTTCCCGTAAAACCTTAAAGGCCTAGAGTAAGAACTTCGTCTCTTAAAGCGTCTAGGGGAAGTGGCAAACTAGTCCACGAAACTAGCTTTAAACAAATAACTGGTTGCAGAGATTAACACAAGTAAATTATGATGTGCCATTACGTCTGTGATATGATTCCGGTTGATGTTTTATCAACCGATTTCCTCATGTTGCAGATGGATAGGATCTGTTAAAATCTGTTTCTGGACTGTGTTGTCATAGCCCGTGTGTTATCTCACATTTTACCTCTGGATATGCAAATGCAGGAGTGCACAAATGCACCGAAGCAAGAAGCCACGCCGAAGCTCAGTCTTTGCCAAAGACTGAGAAGGAACTGCTAGCCACACCAAGGATGATAACCGCTCAAAGGTCATGTCAGTTCATTGGAGTCCAAATGGAAATCAACTGTAATAAACCCCCAGTTCCAGAATCCGGCCCCAACAAAATCGTGAGGAACGTGTTGGAGAGCATGCCTTGTGTGTCTACGACAGGAGATGGCCCTGACGGGAAAAGAATAGAAGGGTTTCTTTACAGATACAAGAAGGGTGAGGAAGTTAGGATAGTATGCGTTTGCCATGGCAGCTTTCTCTCGCCGGCGGAGTTTGTGAAGCATGCAGGCGGTGGTGACGTGGAGCACCCGTTGAAGCATATAGTGGTGAGTCCTAGTCCGTTACTGTAGTTGCTAGTGCCCTTTTGGACCATGTCAAAACCTAGATGTGAGGACGAGGGAGGAAGTAGGGAAAGATGCATCAATGTTGGTTTTACCCTTTGTTTTTTGGTACATTTATATTTGGTCTTTCAATGGATTTGTGGGCACTTGTATTGAACTCGGTACATGAAGCTTCTTGTTGGAAGGCTATGATGTTTATAAACTTGAAGACTCGAAATAGGTCGTTCAGTTCTATTTTTTTTAGTATTTTCATTTTTACTTTATTAACTTTTAGTCTTAATAATGTTAGAGATAAACACTTGCACTTTACCGCACTGGTACTTTAGTTTTATGATATTCATTTATTATTTATATGTGGAGGTCCTAGGGTTTTTTTTCATTTAAAAAGAGGACCAGCTGGTGAATTTGCAATAGCAGTCCATTATTCCGGGGTTGAGAAGACTCACAAATGTATTTTAGCCTCAACCAGTCACCATCGAGCGATTCACCGGACTTAGGAATCAAATTCATGACGTACTGTATGGAATACAAATCTGAAATTAGTACTCAAACCACTAGCGACATATCGTGGTGATTAAGTGGACGTCTTAAGTTCAACTCTCATGAATGTTGAGTTCAATACTTAATTATGTATGGCTTATTTGGGTTTAGTATTAATCTTGATGCCCCAATATGTTTGTATCAAACATAAAACGAGGGAAATGATTTATGCATATATATATATTTTTTTTTTTACTTCTTGTATATTTTCTCGGCTACTAAATTAAATAATTAAAAAAAAAATTCAACGACCATGATTAAAATGGTGAGCAGGAACTTAAAACGAAAGTGCAAAAATTACTTCAGTAAAAAATAAAGTTTCCGAAGACACTTGGGGCATCAGACACAAGGGGTGAGATCAGCCAAATTATTATAGGGTCCGTCCAAGTGGTCTGGATGTCCGCACTTAGAGTTTCTCGTTTTGAGGGGCTTATTTTAATTAATTTGTTGAAAGTGATATATCTCCATTAGAAAAAGAGGTAATGAGAAAAAATAAGGATCACGTAGTTGTTATGCGCCGGATCACTTTTCACCAAATTCATCAAATCTTCAAATATGAACCTTTAAAATTTAATCCAACGATTACAAACAAAAGATTCTTTTAAAAGTTATAATAACTTTAACCGTTGAACAAATTTTAAATAACCGAATTTGATGATTAGGTGAAGGGAGGATCCCTTTCCGTTATGCGTACGGAGGAAAAGAAAAAGTTAAATTGCCAATTATTCTATCTTCCTACCAACCAGTTAGGTTGTCCCCAGATGACTCTCGTCGCATGGGGTTGCTTCTAAACTACACACCCCCCCCCCCCACCCCAAAAAAAAAAAAAATTCTTTTTTAAAGTGACAACGATGGCAAACCCACCGACAATCATTGCACTAGAAAGTGGAAAAATAATTAACTTCAAGTACCATAACACGCGTATAAAACAAGGAACCGAACACGGGACCTCGGGTGCATAAGCGAAGGAGGCTCTTAGCCAAGGGTCATACAGATTACTATATGTTACACCGATACAGGCCTCGTTGGCCAGCTAACGAGGGCTGAAGTTGCTTACACCGCGACTCAATTCGCCACAAGTTGTCGAAAAAACTGCATCACGAGGACCTGCATGCCATGACCCAGCAGTAGAGCCCATGCAACAATGTCGAACCTCCTTTGGTCCCTCGGGCCTCAGCAACAATGTCGAATCTGTTTTAATCCCTCCATGGCGGACAAAGCTGCCTCTTGTTTGTCTGGCTGGAAGCAAGGCTGAAATGGGAGGATAAGAAATGTCCAAATCTTGTCCCTGAAAAGTCGAGAAATACAAATTATGAGCATACTCGGAAGTACGGACAGTGTCTTAAACTCATTACCAATAACACGGTAACAATAAAAGAGAATAAGGACTTCACCTCCAATAGCTTCCCCTCCGACAGAAACCGCTCGCACCTGTATAGTAACAATCCTCCACAGAAGACTTCTAGAGGATGGTCGGAGTCATTGCAGCAGCACAAGATATTAAGGAATTGGATATCATATCCTCGGATAGGTCACGACTGATCATTTCGGTGCATGTCATATAACCGATATGAATAACATGTCCACTCTCTGTGTTATTGAACAAATGAAGCTGAATATACACGTATAAGACGAGGAAATGGAATATCTGCATTCTTCTGCAGATTCATTGGCCAGGCCCCTAATCAGAGAAGCAACACTGAAAAAATTGGGGGCTGAACTATCATTCAATGTACAAGTGGGATCACAAAGGTTCAGAAATCAACCTAACGCCAGTGTCCCCAAAAGCGCACCGAATGCGCAGGCACATTAAAATTGGAGCTCCTTTCTACAAACTACTAATGTTAACCAATACAAACCTTGTAGAGCAGCTAACAGGATGGAGGCTGAAGTTGCTTAAGCCGTCGTACAACTTGCCTCATTGTAGGCCTGGTTGAGAGAGAGTCAACCGTGCACACTACTGCCAAGTGCAGAACTTCTACTAAATCATCATGGGGGCCTGCATCCCATAACCCAGCAGTGAAGAATTCCTTTGCACGGCCTTGCCGAAGAAGCATACATGACCATTGAACGATGTTGAATCCATTTCCATATGAAGAGAAAGAGGGATCCAGTGCCTTCTTGTCAGAGAGTAACTCCAGAAGCACAACGCCATAACTATATACATCAGCCTTATCTGAAACACGGCAAGTCATTGCATATTCTGGGGCAACATATCCAAAAGTTCCAGCAACGCCAGTAGTAGCATGGGTCTCCGAAGTTCCCAGAAGTCTGGCCAAACCAAAGTCTGAGAGATACGCATTAAAATCATCATCCAACAAAATATTACTCGGCTTGACGTCGCGATGAAGGACACGTGGTACGCACTGATCATGTAGGTAGGCAAGTGCACGGGCTATGTCCAAAGCAATCTTGTGAAGTACCCTCCAATCCACAGCCCTTGTTGACCTTTCCTGAATAAACTTTTCCAAATTACCACCCGCCAAGTAGTTGTAAATTAGAAACATCTCTGTATCACTGGCATGATAACCAAGCAAAGTGACAAGATTTGGATGGCGAAGCCTTCCAAGGGTTTTGATTTCTGCATGAAACTGTTGAACTCCTTGGAACCTTCCAACTGAAAGTCGTTTAATTGCCACCACGATTCCAGGTGATATCTCTGCCTTGTAGGTAGCTCCAAAACCTCCATTCCCAATACAGTTACTAGCATTGAAACCTCCTGTGGCTCCCACAACATTCTCAAAGGTCAATGGAACCCCAATGTTTGTGAAAATTGTAACTTCCTTCCTAGTAGAACCTTGAGTTCCAGACTTTGGATTCCATTTCCGTGTATACAAGAACAGAATAACAAGAGCAATAAGCACCAAAACTATGGCCGATGCAGATGTAATGGATGCTATTTCAATTGAATTGAAACCGTTCCCAGTCTTCTGAGCTGGACCTCCCACTGGTGAAGCAGCAAAAGGTTGTGAATCACCAACTCGTCCTTGAGAATCTGAAGCTGGCTGTGCCAGAGAAAACATGGGGCAAGAGTCTAGATTTGGGTTTCCAATAGCAGCATTGCATTTCATCAGGTTATTATTCGCAGGCAGTGAACCTGTGATGTTATTGAAAGACACATTGAAAGATGACAGTGTGGTCACATTTGCCAATCCAGATGGAATCTGACCAGAAATATTATTCCTATCGAGCAGAAGAACAGTCAGGTTTCGCAGATTCACAAGATCTTTCGGTATCTCACCAGTCAGATGGTTTGAAGAAAGTTCAAGCACTTCTAAAGAGGTCAGCTGCCCCAAACTAGACGGAATGACACCTGTAAGGAGATTGCCAGATAAGGAAAGATACATCAGATTCCTTATCTGGCCAAGACTGGTCGGGATTTCACCCCTCAACATGTTCCAACTCAAATTAAGAGCGACAAGAGACAGTTTCCCGATGGTAGAGGGAATTGGACCAATAATCTGATTCCGAGATGCATCTAAACCTTTAAGAGATTTGCACATAGTGCCTACTTCAGCTGGAATCTGACCTTCTAACTTGTTGTGGCTTACATTAACAATCAGCCACTCCAATCCCTCACACTTGCCAAATAATTTACCTGGAAATTCTCCAGAAATCTTGTTTTCTCCAGCAAAGAATGCATAAAAAGTTTGTTTCCCTAGTCTTTCAGGTGCAATAGGCAGCGTCTGCAAAGCGCCAGTAAAATTATTGTGCGCGAAGTTGTGTACTACTATAAGACTGTCACCCTCCCCGTGCATTTGCAATGGATTTCCAACTTGGGATTTAGAAGCGAAAAATGCAACATAGGTTGAGGATGGATCCTCAGACTTGAAAGAAAAATCTCCAAAAGGAGAAGCACAAGTTCTGTTGAAATATTCAGGTATTGAACCTGACAACATGTTTCTGCTGATATCAAACATAACCATACAAGGAACATGAAGATCCTGAACAAGCTCCCCACTAAGCCTGTTAGAGCTCACGTCAAGAAACTGAAGCTTCCTGCAGCGACTAAGTCCACTAGTAAATTCCCCAGTCAAAAAGTTCTGAGCCAAATTGATCATCTCTAAGTACTCACAACCACCCCAATTGCTTGGGAAAGTGCCCTCAATACTTGCCCTTGGTGCCCACAAGATCCTTAGCTTTGGAAGGGTTGTAATTTCTACAGGCATTGTACCTTGAAAGTAATTGAAGTCGTCATTCATAGCATTCGACTGCTCCAGCAAAGAGTCCACTACGGTATCGTTACCTCGTGGAAGTGGATTAAACATAGATGACAGCACAAGGACAGACAACTGAGAACAATTCCCCAGCTCACGTGGTAATGAACTACTCAGGGTATTCCTTGACACATCCAACACTTCCAGAGCTTGAAGCCGTCCGAGTTCAGCTGGAATACCCTCTTCAAACATATTTGAATACAGCAACAACGTCCTCAACTGGCTGCAGTTTCCCAAACTGCTTGGAATGTTATGAACCAAGAAATTACCCGACAAATCAAGATGCTCAAGCTTCCCACAATTTGCTCCAATCTCACTGGGAACATCTCCACTAAGTGAATTGTATGACAAGTACACTGCCTTTAACCTACCAATGAAACCTGGAACGGTTCCATTTACGAGATTCCCAGCTAAACTCAAGATCTCTAGGCTCATATAATTTGACCACGAGGTCGGTATCTCACCTTTAATCATATTAAACCCCAGATTAAGAACCCTCAAATTTGGATTAAGCTGAAAGGGCAGCGACCCAGTTACCGAGTTTCCCTCAAGATCAAGAACCTCCAAGTTTTCCAAGCCCAAAACTTCACTAGGAATTTCACCATAAAAACCATTGAAGGGGAGGGACAAGACCCTAAGCTCAGTGAGCTTACCAATTACAGAGGGGAGCTTCCCGGCCAATCTTCCTCTACTACCCTCACAGCTCCTTCTGATTCCGAATCCATAAAGCGGCAACTGAGAAAAATCTGAGCACGCAATAGTTTTCGATCTACCTTCGGTTTCTCCGCCATTCCCAGTAAGGTTGAGCGAAACCACTCGAGAATTTGAGTTGCAGAAGACGCCGGTCCATGAGCAATGACCAGAACTGAGCCGACCGTTCCAGCCAGAAAGCAAGCCTGAAGGATCCAAGACAGAATTTTTTAGCTCAAGAAGCACCGATGCGTCAGTATCAGCGAGAACAGCACAGTTCTGGGAGCTACAGAACACCCACAAGAGCAAAACAAGCTTCAGAACAAACACTGGAGAAGTGGGTCTGCGAAAAAAATGTCCTTTGATGACCGAAGAGGAAGACGGAGAAAAACCCATCTCTCAAAACCCCTTTCTGCTAAGCGGTTCGCTGCGAAAATTACAAAATCACACACAAATTCAGCATAAATCTTGAAATTAAGGAAAAGACTTAACACTATACCGATTTCAAAAGCATTGAAATTTAACTCACAATTCTTACAATTTCAGCTTAGAATTATGACCATAATTCTTCAGTTGCTCGACCCCTTCTTGCTCTTACATGAATGCCGTCTTTCGGAGGCCATGGCGGCTGCAACAAATTAACATTGAAATTTTCATTTCCCACTACCAACTGTACGGACACAAAGATCACTACTTTAACTAACGCTCTACTGACCAGTCAAAAACCCAAAAACTCGGAACCAAATCCAAATAGAAAAATTGGACTAAATTTAACATCACACTACAGGTACCTTCGCAGCAGTAGGAGTAAAATCCTTTGCTTTTCCTTTGAAATCTGCTTTTTCTTGTCCCGGAACTCAAATCCAATCGATGTAAGCTACCAGCGCGGTGTTGCTAATCGGATTTTGCTCAGAGACTGCGTATTCCTCATGAAAATTGGGGAATTCATGTCGATCCTGCGGCGGAGAAAAGAGTCTTCGGAACCCAAGAGATCAAAACCCCAAAAACCCTTTCCTTGGACTTGCACACCCTTTCCTTGCACAGAAAGAGTAAGGGGTTCATGGAAACCCTAACCCTAAACTTGTTGGCCCTTGATGAGGGAGAGAGATTGAGCGGAGGACGAGGAGAGAGAGAGAGAGAAAGAGTCAAGTCATTCAGCTGTGTTTCTTATGGCACGAAAACGCGTTCTTCTTTTTCTTCTCATGTTTTTTTTTCTTCCTTTTCTTCTTTGTTTATTTTTTTTTTCAATTAAAAAAAAGGTAAATTCTTCACATTTTCGCGGTCGTGTTGCATTTGGTGGGTGCTGGGGCCCACTAGACATGCATAGAGGGACGGGGTCCACAGCTGGTCAATAAATGCACTCAAAAATGGCGTACTTAAGCCGGTCCGTCAACGCGGCGGCTTCGTCAACCGATAACGAAATGTCATGTGTTTCAAATTTATAAATGTAAATGAAAGTGCGCAATTAGCTAAATTGCTATTACCCTATAAATATTAGTTGATTAGCTTTAAAATACCGTCACCAATGCGTTTAGTGATAAAGTTATTCTACTTTAGTGACGCACGACTTTGTTACGTGCTTTGGAGTATCTGATACTTCTGAGAAATTTTTAGTTTATGATGAGAACATAAGTGGTAAATTACGTGTTTTAATAGGAATGGTAGAAAATTTTATTTTTTAAGTTATTAACTTTTTAGCACACATATTCCACATTTTGTCTAATGACACGTGTTGTATCATCCCTTATACCGATCACACTGAAAAATCCCTCCATACTTCTAGTGTTTTATCCGTAAATTCTTTATTTAAAATTTTAAAAATTGAAATTTAAAGTTAATACATCCGAAGCACTGGGGCTCCTTGGTGGTTTATGTGAGTGAGAAAGGGGTTAAAGAATTCTTCAGGGCTCAAAATCTCTGCACACGTGGCTGCATATTTAGTGTACCGGAAATCCGTTTCGGTACATTAAATATCATAATAAATTTTGTTGAAATTTTTGTCTCAAATTTTTAACTAATTATATTATTATACATGATGCATCCGACCGTGTTTCTAACACATTGAAATCCCTCTCTTTTTAATGGAGGTGGATTGTCTACCCTTCCATTTCCATTTCCTATCCCCTCCTGTTTTATATGGTTACGGTTAAACCACGTTAACATTTTATATTCCTATTACTTTTGTTTTATTATTTTTATAAAAAATCAATATAAAATATTGACGTGGTTTAACCGTGATCACATAAACAAAAAAAAGATAGAAAGAGTATGGAAATAGAAGAGAGGACAATCCACCTCCCTTTTTAATAGGGTGTTGGGGTCTACTCTACCGTTGATGAGGTCCAGATAGGCAAGGGAATGTGATTGATTGTGCTTTAATTTTTTGGAAAGCTACAAGCTTGGAATGCGATTGATAGGTATTTGATGTGTACTTGCTACTTTTACCCAAAACAAGAGAAAAATCCCGGGTAGACAAGTGCTTGTGTTCCTTCCACCAAATAAAGGTTGGTATCCCTTATTTTGTGGTTAAGATTGATTCTACACGCCACTAGTACTACTGTCTAGTGGTATTCCCCTTCACTGATACTTAAGAAGTCTTAGTTTCAAATCTCGTAAAGGCGAATTTGTACCAATTTATTGCTAACCCATTGTAAGGTTATGCCCACCCTCTCCTCTTAGTGTAAATAATATCGATTGTTCAAAAAAAAAAATTTATTCTACACAACAACGAACTTGTGGCGTAAGTGATTAAAAATTACAACTTCAGCATCAGAGAACAGTGTTATAAAGATGATTACAAGATCACGGATCTTATAAATGTTGGTGAAGGATCATGATGCTCCCAGTGTCTATGTCTTTATGTTGTTTTTGAAGACTTTTTTTTTTAGATAACTGAAAAAATTAATGCATACGTGATTGGTTTCTCGATTATAAACAAGATTGATATTGCTTATTTATTACAAAATAAATAAGATACTCAATCCTGATAAAATCCTATTTTTAAAGAGTTGTGGAAGTTCTATCATCTTGTTTTTCTTCTGGCATGAGTTATATAATAAGGGTTTGGTTGATTGAGAAGATCCTATATCTTATGCACCAGCAAAGCCACCTTGATTGCTTGGTTTTCAAGTTTTTATCAATTGAACGAAACTTGATTTTTTTATTTGATATATACAGTCATGGATTCGAACTCAGAGTTTTACATACGAAAATAAACACTCTTAACTAATTGAGTTACACAATCATTGCAATAAAATTTGGTATCATCCCCCTAGAACAACGTTCTCTTTCATACCTTTCAACCAATCGATACGACCCCCGAAAGCAGCTTTTGCTAAAATTGAGACTTTTCTTGAAAACTCGTTCCCAATATTAAACTTTAAGTATTTAGAGATGGTTTCATATTCCTAATAATATGGTTCGGTAACAAACCCGTTCGTTCAGCTTCCAACAATCCAGTTAGTTCTCCGTGAGTGTTGTTTCTCAAATTAAGAGTGTTGTTTTTCAAATTCCTTGTTTAAAGTTCTATATAAATTATCATATATATGGTGGGCAAAGGATGCACGTATAAACATACTCTATTGAAAAAGCAACTGCATATATAAAAATTGTAGGCTTTTCTCAGCATCCAGACAGGTTGCTTTTTAGATGTTTTGTCACGTACCTAAAGTTCCGAAACAGAAAGTTCACACCTCCACCTCATAAGAAAAAGCCAACTTAGATGTTGAAATTTGAACATGTAGTAATCCTGACGTAGGAGTGACGTTCTTTAACTTGCACAATAAACACTTAGTAGTATCACACACCGTCACGTATTGTTATTAGAGCATAAGCTATAACATAGTTGTACGACAATAGTAATATTTCATGGACCTGACCGAATTGCATCCTTGCGGGGTATACGTAAATGTTGGTCATGTGATGAAAAAACACTTGATAATACCAATATGGTTACGTTTGTTGTCAATCTTACTCCAATCTAGTCAATTTTTTCTATATTGCCCATGTGCATTGGTGAAATGTCATTTTAAGGAACTGAAACTTATTTGGCCCTAGAACTAAGATCAAAATGACTATTTTATCTCTGTAAGTGATTGCGTGCACGAAAAAAATTTAGGGAGTACAATTAAAATTTCACCACATAGACATCAAATCAAAGAAAAATTAGATGCGTTTTAAGCAAAAGTATATATAAATAGTAGTGTTAAGTGAAAAACCAACTGCTCTATGTACATGATATAGATCTATCTACATCATTTTTCAATCTACCGTTAAACATCATATAGTATAGATCTCTATGCACATCAACTTTCACTTTTTCATCGCTCTCTTGGTTTCTTCTTTTTCTGTGGCTTCTCTTCAACCCAAACCCTAGTTGGAGTTCCAAATCTAACCCCTAGTGGAACTCCACCAATTGGACAAGCCTTGAGATTCTTTGAAACTTGGGTAGGAAGCAACTTTGAAATCCAAAGCATCAGACTACCTATGAAGGCTTTTTAGATCAACGGCGGGCGGTGCAACAACAGAAACACGAAAACCAACTAGTTGTTTGAGTTGTGGCTGCCTTTAGGGGTGTTTCTTGGGCCTCAGTCCCTACTTGCTTATGCATCTCCTGCTGTGCATGCGCTGACTGTAGCTTTCCTGAGTTTATTTCTGCAGGGATATTTCTTTCAACCTCATGATTTTCCAACCTGAAAAACACTTACTGTTATCAGTTCAAAGCGTACTGACAAGTTATTAATACAAATCTGTCATTTAATAAAGAATGGACGTCTTGCATTAAGAATTGCTGTTGTGCAAGAATCATATGCGGTAAATTTCCTGAAAATTTGGATGATATGTTTTGATTAAATTTGAGAGGGACTGCCTTCCCTTTCAGAAGGCTCAATTTGCAATATTTCAAGTATTCTATTCCTGCATTGCAGAGTGAACAAATACCAGATAATCCTATCTGCATGGAAATGAAATTAATAATGCTTACACTGGAAACTGGAATGACTTGGTGCTGTTATTGCTCCCATCAGATTGGTATGAAGCAGCAGAATTCCGAATTTCTCCGATAAGAGGCACCTTTTCCTTTTTTACGGCTTTTGCATTTGCAGATTCATCTGGTCCTTCTGTTTCTTCTACTGATTCCGTTTCCACATTTTCCCTCATGCTTTCAACCTTATATTCCACATTTGCACTCTCATTTTCTTCGATTTTCGCCTCCATGTTCGGAGCCCTGTTTTCAACCTTCTCTTTCCCCACATTGTGAATCTTTATTTCAATAGTTTCTACCTCAGTAACTGTGGGAAGTGGAGTTGGAATGTAGATGTATTCATCATGCCTCGTCAGTTCACCGGATTTATAAAGCTCTCCGGATTTGTAAAGCTCTCCGGACTTATTCAGCAAAGCGAATTGATCTCTCGAGAAGCTGTTGTTCCCCACATGAAGACTAAACAATGATTCATTTGAAGCAACACTCCAATCCATGCCTGCTGGCGGTTTACTGGCGAAAATATTCGATGGGATTCGACTCGGGTCATAACCTGCAGGCCTTCCCATCATCTGAAACGGAGAGGATTGCGCAGATGATCCGCTTTGCATGCTCCCAGGCAGACTCGGAGAAGAATAACCCTCTGGTAATGATAGAGCCCCCTGAGACTCCTGGTCTGGTCGTGTCCTTGTTACGCAGGGATTGTTGCCATCTTTTTTGTCATTGACAAATGATTCCAGCGATGAACGTGGAGATGACGATGATGATGATGATGGTGATGATGGTGATGATTTCGAGGATGATGGGAAGCTTGAATTTCGGCGGTAATTAACCGCATCGCTTTCAAAATTCACCCTTAGATGCTTATTACCACATTCATCCCTATATGCATCATCCATGAGTTTATAATTTGCAACAGTTGATTATCTTCAAAGCCTGTCTCTAATTGATATTTAACTGCATGGTATGAACAATATCAACAATAATGAACTATTTATACACAATATGACAACAAAAATGAAAGAACAAAAATCTGGTCAGTTGCTGGCTTTTATGCAAACACGTTGAGGGCTAAATGCAACATTTCAATAATCATCACAAGCATACTTTCACGTATGGTAGCACTTTAAACATCCTAATCATATGTAGGCTAAGTCAGTTGTCAGGGTAGTATGCATGCCTTGTGCAATCAAGTTTGAATCCTTCTCGCCATAAATAAAAGTAAATTATAGAAGAAGAATAAACATCACAATCATAGACTTTCACAAAAATCTTTCAAAATTTCAAGCAAAACCCTAATCTTAATCTGAATCATGCATAAAGGTTAATCACAAATCAAACCCTAAGAGATGCATATCTTTGACTCTGGAAACTGGGTTTTGAGCAACAAACTTACCACGAAATGGAAACCCAAAATAATCAACACACGTAAATAAAAGGTCGTTACTTGAATCTTCGAAAACCCTTTTCGATATCGAACCTTTAAATCAAATCAAACCCAGAAGATCTTTAAGATAAAAGCTGAATACCCTTAAAAATCACAGTTATAGTGATCCAAAAGATGGTACAATTTGGGGCTTGGAAATAAAGGAGCTAAAATGAGTGGCAAAGGAGACAACCTCGGAGGGTTCCTTACTTTGTTATTGTGAAACAAAAGTAACAAACCGATCAGATGGAAGGTCTTCTGTTGCCAATTTTACTAACTGACTAACTGACTGGAACTCTTGTGAACCAAAAAGATAAAGTGACAAACTAACCGGTTCACGCGGGAAAGATAAGAAGAGGGTCTAGAAGTTGGCCCCACTTGTGAGGCCCATTTGATATCATGGGCTTACTTGGCTTGGCCCATTTTGAAGTCCAAGTGAAATTGTCTGAGGGAGGGAGGGGTAGAATTGCAAATACAATGGAATATGAGGTTGACAAGTTTAGACTACCAGAGGCTGAGTTTTAACATGTTATCTGCAAAATCTTGTTTTGATTCACATGCCTGTGGATTTGGAATTTTAGTACCAAGAAGCTGAAATTTGCAGGAAAAATGGTTTCAATGGAAGGAGCTTTGAAGAAACAGTTGTTCCATGGTGGATTTCTGACCCTTAACTGTAAGCTCTACTCTTTTTTATATCTAGACCTTCTAAAACTATAAGTATATATATTTTAGAAAATAATGCCCTATCACCGGCGACGTTATTAATGTATATGTGATAAGAAACACAGACGCATAGTTGTATATAACCGGTAAAACCTAGCAATCTTTTCCAAGAATTGAGTCGATTACACAATTTGCATTTACTACTTTATGTTCTTGAGCATTTAGCATATTTTAACATCACTAACAGCATTATAATTGCAGGCAAAGAAGGTACAAAGTGCCAGATTCGAGCTCCGTTGATGCAGTTAGTGGCAACAGGAAAAGATGATATTAGTATTCATCTTAATCTGTTTAAAACAAGGAGTGTGCAAAGAGACGCAGTCAAGGTAATATTAGTATTCATGTACCTTTAAAAGAATAGCGTATTCATGTACACATGAAGTTCGGAATCAAAACCTTTACTTCGTCAGCAAACCTAGGCGTAGTCATGTTGGCTAGAGTGGATACTCCCTTCCCGTAGTTAAGATTCAGTTAAAATAGAATACCGCTTGAATCAATGAGGATGAGTTTTTACTTCGGCATGAAATCCTAGTTTGAAAATTTTCGTTGCAACTTTTGGACAGGTTTGTGCAGTGAGGAGGAGAAGGATATACCATAATAGTGAAACTTATGTGTTACTGGAGCCGGGAGAGGATGAGAAGTTTGTTTCAGAGGATGAGCTGAGGGACAAGTTAAAAGGTTGGCTGGAGAACTGGCCAGCCAAGAAACTTCCTCCTGACCTTGCAAGATTCGAAAGCATCGACGATGCCGTTTCTTATCTAGTGAGGTCTGTTTGTGAACTTGAAATTCATGGAGATGTAGGTTCAGTCCAGTGGTACGAAGTTCGAATGGAGTGAGAAAATCATTCAAGCCTTTGAAGATTAAAAGTTTTTCTTTTGGCTCAAGGAATTGAGAGTATGATTATATTTACTGAGATTAGTAGTTGGTAAAGCATAATCACAAATTGTAACAGCTACACCCTTGGGGATAGTTTTGTTTTGTAACATCCTACCAGAGCATATACGTGTTCTCACGTCATCTAGAACACGTGTTAGGCTCGAGAGATTAAGAAGACATGTTGAAACTATTTTCACATTGAAGACTAAAGAGATATTTTCACATTATGTGTCTTGCTTAACGGCCATACGAGTTCTTATGCCACCCAACAAAAATTGAGCACGTGTTAGGCTAAAGAGACATGTTGAGAGTATCCCACATTGAAGATAAAAGTCTTACATAAAGTGCATAAACGATCTTGTAGAAGATACACAGTGTCAATTGGTTTTGAGTCGGAAGCTCGAATTCTAACAGAAATAAGGCATATGGTTTCAATTAGAACAAGGGCAAGTACAAAATCATTGACACAAGTTTTTTGGTACAATCAAACACGAGTGAGTGTGAGTGAGCATGAGGAGGATATGTTGAAAAATCTTATTATTCATTCACCAGAAACACAACTGTTTCCAAAATGCACACTGATAAAATCACATACAACCATCAACTTCCACCGAGCCTTAAACAGTGGAAGTTGAAACAAACAGATAAAAAAAGCTGTTGGAAAAAGTCCCAAAAGTGCTTTTCCTCATAGCCTTCAATTATCGCACCCAAACTTTAATTCAGCAGTTGGACCACATCCCACACCTTCAATTCCTGAATCTGATGCAGTGACCCCAAAAAAAAAACCCAATTGAATTTTCTGCATCACGATTATTAATAATGTTCATGCAGTGATATAATATGTATGTATGTATGTACCTTGAGGAGGTTTGGGTAGATTTATGCTAGGTGGCAAGAGGGCACCACCCTTTCTGTTTCTGGCAAGAAGGCCTTGTGTTACAGGGGACATTATCATATCGGTTGGGCTAGTATACCTACAAAATTTTAAAAAGTACATCATACATAAATCATAAATCTCATGTATAGGTTGTCTAATCAAGAACAGACCGCATCAATATCGACATATTATCGATAATATATATATGTGCACGTGCTATAATTTTATATGTCAATATGAATAGAAGATTTAATACCTTTCTGGGAACTTAAATGCCTTGGGGACCTTAAGGCGATCCGGCGTAGTGATTTTGCGTAAATCGTTGCCGGAGTTTTGAGAATTTTCATCCTTGTGTTGAAGCGGAGGCGGTGGCGTTATGCACTCGGAAAATGTTTTCTCTGGCTGAGTCGGCCTCATAGGAGGCACTTCTGCTATGTTTTCCATAGTGTGATTCGTGAGAGAGAAGATTGAACTGAAAACCTTAATAAATTCAGAAGGATTTTAAACACTGAGAGGAAGTGTGGAAATTTGATGTGATAGGTTACCGTTTGGAATGAGGAATATAAAAAAATTTAACGGTCGAATTTCGGCTTTGTCAGGATTAGGTTTTGGTCGAATTTGAGATTCAAAATAAAGTTAGAAGGAAATTAGTATTTGGGGTGGAGGCCCAACATCTAACGTTCAAATTAATACCCAAATTGATGTAGTTTTACCCATTCAGAATATAACTGCAAACAAATCATCTTTCATACCATGTAAGAGTACAAGAAGGAAAAAAAAATGAAAATAGCTTAAAAACTTTGAGTTTTAACGATAATGACAAAATAAAAGGTAAAGTGAATAGTACAAAATTGACTTTTTAGTGTAAAAATGTGGTTTTTCGTTAAAGTGAAAACTGCCGGGAGTTTTTCGTTAAAGTTAAAAAAAAAAAAAACAAACATTTTTATAAGAGTATTTTGGAATACGGATAATAGCTCTCTACATAGTATGGTAATCGCGGATTCTTACTAAGGACATGTACTAACTATGAGGTTTAATTGTATTTAAAAAAAAAGATGAAAAAAGAACTTTTTGTAAAGAATAAAATATAGGGAGTTTTAACGAAAAACCCGCAGTACTGTTCACTTTAACGAAAAACTATATTTTTACATTAAAAAGTCAAATTTGGTATTATTCACTTTATCCTTTATTTTGTCCTTATCGTTAAAACTCAAAGTTTTCAAGTCATTTTCACTAGTTTTCCTTAAAATATATTGATGACAATGAACGGTTAATTTGTTCGTTCAAAGATAATGATTGCAAAAGTTCATCCAAATTGAGATTATTGTTGTGAACATTTCATTGTTTATGGATAACACTATATCCATAGAGTATTGTACTCAAGTGAATAATTAGTATAGTATTAACTAATTGTTAAGACTTTGATACAGTACATCAGCAAGTTAGAAAAACATGTCATGTAGAGTTTGCAAACCAACCCATTGGGTTGTTAATGTTTAGCTATTAATATTTGTTTAATTTGATAGCACCATAATATAGAGGTGAGATTAGAATTGATGGTGATGATGATGTAAGGTAAAAGCAAATTAAATGGGTCTTAATGGGTACTCATTAATCACCCAACAAGTTGATTTGCCAAGTGTTGACAATGAATCATACATTGATAGGAAAAATGATCTTGCATGGGCTTATATGTAAATTGAGTTAGTTCTACTCTCCAAATTTCCATTTAATTTTAAGATAAAACCTTAACTTATTTTAATATCATATTAATACAATTAATACAACTACATAGCTTGGCAACTGACGGCATCTTTTCTACATGATCCCTGGATCCGTGAATCGAGTGTTGGATATATGTCAACAATCCGCAATAAAATACAAATGCTAATAATAAATATATTCCAGAGACTCAACAAGATGAAATATTAATTAAGCAGAGTAACAAAAGATCGAGGCTTGCGTACCGCAATGTCCTTGAAACAGAAATTTCGCCCCTACTCAGTGCTTGTAGTTCTACGGACGTCTGCTTCACCAGGATTCAACGATCTAAGTCAGAAATTCCAGCACTGGAAAATTGACTTCTGGTAAATATTAATGTGGTTCTCTTAGAAAAAATGTTTATGATTGCAGGAGAAGATTTATGATTTTTTCTATGTTATAAATGCCATACAGATGAATGTATATATAATGCGATTATACCTGTTCGCAATAGGTATAAGGAAGGGATGCATCTGTTGGGAGACATCTGCTGAAAAAGGTGTTTTTGTTTTTGCGTTTTCACACTTCAGACTTCATCTGAAAAGATGAGTCTGTTGGTAAAAATAATTAATTAATTTAAATTCGAAATTAAAATAATTAATTTAATTATTAGAGCCCAAGAGGCCTGAGGCCCAAGGCCCATATTTTGACAATTAAATATATATTAATTATAATTAATTATATATTAATTAGTACACCCCAAAGCCCAACCCCAAGGGTGAGCCCAATTTTAGTCTCTAGACCTATTACTCAAATCACTTTCTATAAAGGACAAAGCCTTATAAAGTGATAAAATCTTTTGGGAATGGCCAATGTGGGATAAAGAAATTTCTACTCAAACTACTCAAATTTCCAACAATACCCCACATTTGAGTTGAAATTTCATTCAAACTCCAACAATTACCCCACATTTGAATGCAAATGTAAATGCAAATGGATGACTAGGCTGCCTAAAACTGAGAGAGAATAGGCATGATATGCATCGGGTGAAGTGTCTTTTGGACTTGAACTTGCCCTAGTGAAAACATATCGGGTTTACTTGGTGACGCAGTGGATGTGGAAGATCTTGAACTGTTCACCGCAGTAGTAAACTGAGACAATATACTACACACATATCATGTCTGCCACACGTCAATTCATTCAGTTGTGTTCATTTCGGCCCTGAACAGATCCCGGATTTCGTAGGAGCTTTAGAGAATTTAGCCATGTTAATTCTCATAAATGTGGCCCCATTTACTCCTATATAGGTGACATTAATTAAGAATAGTCTGCCATATTCCTTTTGATAACAAGATATTAATGTCATTAAATGTATAAAACCCCTCAAACATCAACAGACAACACACATTTTATCATAAGAATGGGTAAGTTGCGTGTTCAACTTTTGAATCAAACTCAACCAGTTTGCCTATTGAACCTAGACCATGGGATCTCCAATCAGCTAGGTTAGGTTTCCGCCCAGTTCGATTCATTAAATTGGCTTGACCCATTCCCCTCGATGTAAATAATATTTGCTCTCTTGGTAGGCCTTTTGTCAAAGGATCAGCTATATTTTCCTTTGACTTCACATAATCAATGGATATTATTCCATTGGAGAGCAACTTCTTAAGAGTATTATGTTAACGCCTGATGTGACGTGACTTCTCATTGTATACATGACTTTTGGCCCTTGATTGCTCCAGAAATTTTTTGAGTCACTCGGCTTCTTCGCAAGCCAAGTCTAAAGCTATAAACTCGAACTCCATGGTGGACCGAGCTATACATTTCTGTTTAGAAGATTTCCAAGATATTGCTGCACCTCCTAAGGTAAAAACATATCCACTTGTCGACTTGGATTCTGTAGTGTCAGAAATCCAATTGGTATCACTGAAGCCTTCTACAACAGGTGGATAATTTATGTAGTGTAATCCGTAGTCAAGTGTATTTTTCAAATACCTTAACACTCTTACTAAAGCATCCCAATGCTCTTCCACCGGATTACTTGTATATCTACTAAGCCTACTTACTGCATAAGCTAAGTCGGGCCTAGTTGAATTCATCAAGTACATTAGACTTCCAATTACTTGAGAATATTCAAGTTGAGATTTGGCATCGCCTTTATTTTTCTCCAACTTGCATCCAGCATCAAAAGGAGTTGCAGCAAGTTTGCAGTCAAATTGACCAAACCTTCGTAATATTTTTTCTGCATAATGGGATTGTGTAAGGACATATCCTTCACTATTTCTCTTAATTTGAATTCCTAAAATGACATCGGCTTGACCTAAGTCTTTCATGTCAAAACTTGAATTCAACATTTTCTTTGTTTTGTTTTTACATCTTTATTGCTTCCCATTATGAGCATATCATCCACATACAAGCAGACAATAACACAAGTTTTATCATTACTCTTAATGTAGACACATTTATCAGATTCATTTATTTTGAACCCATGTGTCAACAAAGTATGATCAAATTTCTCGTGCCATTGTTTTGGTGCTTGTTTAAATCCATATAATGACTTAACTAATTCGCACACTTTGCTTTCTTGTCCTTTAAGCACAAACCCTTCAGGTTGTTCTATATATATTTCTTCATCTAGTTCTTCATTTAAAAATGTTGTTTTTACATCCATTTGATGTATATCAAAGTTGTATACAGCCGCAATCGCTATTAACGTCCGAATTGACGTTATGCGAGAAACTAAAGAATAGGTGTCGAAATAATCCAACCCTTCTTTTTGGCGATAACCTTTGGCTACTAAACGTGTCTTGAACTTATCAATGATTCCATCCGCCTTAAGTTTCTTCTTGAAAATCCATTTATGACCAATTGGTTTACTATCGGGAGGTAAATCAACCAATTCCCATGTGTTATTTTCCTTAATAGATTCCATTTCACTTTTAATTGCTTTCTTCCATAAAGGAGCCTCAGAAGAAGACATTGCTTCTTTAAAAGTTCTAGGGTCATTCTCAGACAAGAAAGCAATAAAATATGGTCCAAAGTTTTTAGAAACTTTGATTCTTTTTCCTCTTCTTGGTTCCACATCATTTCCTCATTTCCTTGGACACCAGAAGAAGAGGCTTCATCATGACTATGATCATGAACCCTCTTTGTATTAGAACCAGATTCAATTTCTTTGTAAGGGAATATATCCTCAAAGAATTCTGCATCCGCTGATTCTAATATAGTGTTGACATGTATGTCAGAAATCGAAGATTTTACAACAAGGAACCTATAAGCAACACTATTATTTGACTGCACCCCAAGGCCCATCTTTTGAAAATTAAATATATATTAATTATATATTAATTACCAATTAATTAGTACACCCCAAAGCTCAATCTCAAGGGTGAGCCCAATTTTAATCTCCATGCCTATTACTCCAATCACTTTCTATAAAGGACAAAGCCTTATAAAGTGATAAAATCTTTTGGGAATGGCTAATGTGAGACAAAGAAATTTCTACTCAAACTACTCAAATTTCCACATCGAGTTGGTCTTTTAGGCTTATAGCACATTACCAAAGCAGCAGGGGACCCAAATTAAATCATCCTAATTCATTAATCATTATACATCTTCTTTCTTGGTCAATAATCATTATACATCTTCAACTAGAAGCAAAGCTACTAATCAAGTCAAGCTCACCATCTTGCTGCAATTTGCATTCCCTCATTTGACCTGTGACCAACTGCAAAATCATACTTTTTTAGTGGGATGATTCCTTTCAACGAAACATACACGTTTGCCTGATTTATATACGTAGATATGGTTATTTTCTTCTCACACTTGGCAGCT